TGATTTTTTGGATATTTTTATGAATAATTTAGAAAAAATTGAAAAAATAATATTTTAAAAAATGATTTAATTAAAATACGAAAATAATAATTAAATAATAATAAAAAACTATTTTTGTTATTTTTTTAATGAAAGATAGAAAAATTTAGAGTAAAAATAATAAAAAACAAAAAAAAGTGACAAAGGTGAGATTCGAACTCTCAACCTCTCACACTCATAACTCCTTACACATGTCCTCCTGCCAATTGTGCCATTTTTACTTTTTAGAAAAAAAATGCATGTCATATGATATTTACCTGCAAAAAGTCAAACGACTACACAAATTTGTTAGTAATTGATTAAATGCAATGAAATGCGACGACAAATCTTAGGGCAAAATTTGGGGTATTACAGTTATTATGATAATATTTCTCACCCAACCTCTCTTTGATGTTGGCAAAAAAAAATCATGAAGTTTGATTTTGGTTTGACCACAGTTGACCTCAGTTTGACCTTTTAACTGCATTGACTGCTTTTGACTTATCTGATCATCTGACTGAGCAAACTTTTGAGAAAAGTCTTGAAACTTGACATGGGGGTTCTTATACACATATAAGATGTTATGAAGCTCACTTGAAGTCTTGGAAGTCCATTTAGCCTGATTAAAGTCAAAACCCTAGTTTTGGATGCACTGCTTAGGAGGTGCATTGTCTGAGGGAATTGTCAACTCTTCTGACCAATTGTGAACCTTGTGAATCTTCATAAGATATCTTGCGATACTCATGGGAGGTATTGTGAAGCTTGTGAACCTTGTGAACATCATGAAGTGGCTTTGTAGACCTCATGACCCTTAGGAAAGCTTTGTAAACATTGTGAATCTTGTGAACCTTCATAAAGTAGCTTGTGGACTTCATGAACTTCATGAAAGGTTATGCAAGTTGTTGGAGAACTTGTGAACCTTGTGAATCTTCTTAGAACACAAAGTCTTGTATTGTGAGGGCAAATTTTGGGGTGCAACAATATCAACCCTTGAACACCTGAATAAGCCTCCCAGCTAGCTTCAAAGTCTTGTGTAGCCCTTGATTGGTAATCATATCTCTTGATCTCCTGCATACATGTCAATGAAATGCAAATGATAATGCTAATGTGCATGAAATGAAACATAAGCTAGGTAAAGAAATGTTGGGCAAATTTTGGGGTGCAACAATGTTCCCTGCAAAACAAAGAAAGTGGGTGAATAACAGATAAAGAATACTAAACCGTAAGAGAGGAGAGGCGTCCACCACCTAGGTAGCGAAGGGCATCCGCCTCCGAGGGACACTCGAGCAAGGCCTTCGTATTAATCAACCTTGCCGTCTCGCGGAAATTCCCCTGGTTGTCGAGGATGTACCGGCCATCGGGGGTCACCAGCTTCGATGGCGGCAAACTGCGCACGAATGAGACTATCTTCATATAACTGGCCATGTTCTTTTCTTCAAGCGACCCCGCACGCACGATGTACCGGTCTGTCCCCCGAGAGAAGTGCTCCGGGGACCACTCCACGTGCACCCACGGCAACATAACGGCCTCGCGACGACCATCCACGATCCGTTCCCCCTCTAAATATAAAGAGCCAACCCCCTCATGCGTAATCGGGCTGACTACGAAGAAACGACCCTTGAAGTCCCGGACGGAGTCCATGTACGTTTTGAAAAGCCTGTCCGGTTGCTTGAACGGCACCCAGCCGTGTCGACCATTCACAGTCTGCCGCTGCAGATGGAAGATACAGAAGAATAACGGCAGCGTGACACCGACCTGGAGATAGCGGCATACGACCTCGAATTCCCGAATAAAAGCCAGGGCATTTGGATACAGCTGCGACGGGGCCAACCTCAGCCAGTCGAAGAGGCCAGGTGGAAGTCCGAGAATGGCAGCCTGAGCCTGGCCTCTTTGAAGTAGAATTCATACATCGGGAAGCGCATCCTCCTGTACTTCGAGCAGATTCGGTGACCCTCCCGGGGACGGTAAACCTGCCAATTCTGGGGGTCTCCTTCTCGTCGATCCTCCACGGTAGCATAGGACCTCGTCGGGTCGGAAGCAAAGCAGAAGGGCGTGGACAAAGGTTCCTCGGCTACCCAATCCTCGAGGGGAAGGACGCGCTCGTCAAAGTGTGGAACATCCGGTTCATTGTCCTCGACCATTGTCCCCGAGATAAACGTAGTCATTAACACCTAAAAAGCAGAAGGTAACGGTGAATTCGATGACAAAGATCAAATTCACCCTTCCACCGCAACTCAAGTGAAAGGGCGACGAGGACACACCGAGCATCGTCCCCGGTGGCTCTACCCAAAACCTATCGCCTCCCCGGGGAACCAGCGCAACCTAACCTACAAACTCTCCCCGGGGCGTTCATCGGAATAGACGTCACTCCTCGGGACGTTCAACGGAAGCAAGCGTCTTTCCTCGGGGCATTCATCGGAATAAGCATCCGTCCCCAGGGCATTCATCGGAATTGGCATCTCTCGTCGGGACGCTCACGGTGAAACCCTAGAAAATCCCCATACAACAACGGAGATCCTCACCTCTCCCCTGGGCATTCAAACTGCCCCGACCACAGTCCTAAAACAAACAGTAAAAAGGAAAGAAATGAGAAAGGAAACTCACTATGATTCAACCTGTGGCGGAGTACGTGGCGGCTGCTGCGGCGGAGAGATTCGACGGCGGCAAGACGGCAAAGCAAAAAGTTCAAGAGCAAGAGGGCGAAAAGTGGAGAATGAGCGGGGGCTCGCTTACTTATACCCCAGCACGGGACTCGAAGTGTCGCTAGGCACTCGAGTACCCTAGGGTAGCCGCCCTAGCAGCCATCCAGCGCGTGACACGTGGCGAAGGATGACAGTCGCGTCCCCTCACATCTCCTCGCCAACACGTGTCCTCAAGCTCGGGCAACCGACGACGAGGAAGGATGCGCGTACTCGCGTCCCCACGGAACACGAGCTGGAGGGTTTTCTCCCCAGTCTAATTCCTCCTCCCCGGTACAGCGTCTTCAAGTCCTCGCTCCCTTCCTCGGAGCTACGACTTGGGGGGCTCCTGTTATGTCCTGGGCCCCGGCATGGCCAGGCAGGCCCAACCCAGTAATACTTTGCCAAGCCCAGTCCAGCTTGGGCCGTAGAGCACAGGGTCCCCGACGAGCAGGTTCTGTCCCCCCGCGAGCAGGACCTGCCTCAGCTACGTCGGGCACAAGACTCCCCTATCGACCAAACACTGCCCTCTCTACGGGCAGGACCTGCCCCTCCGCGGGCAGAATCTGCTCCCCTCCGTGGGCAGGCCAACGTGTCCTTCACACGTTCTCCACGTGCTCCCCTATGCGGGGACACGTCACCGACCAACTGCCCACCTCCGAAAGAGCAGGTCAAACCCACTTTTCGGAGATCACGGGACGGTTGGACTAGGGCGAAGACCACGTCCTGGTCTTCACTACGCCACGTAAGCCCTAACAGTCACCTGGGTTGGTCCTGACAATCCAGCCCAACACAGGTGACCGTTGGCCCAGCGCTGGGGTCTCTCTATAAATACCCTTTTTCACAAGAGGGTCAGGTAATTCACTTCTTACCCCTTTTCTGTATTTGCTTTCACTCTGCCAAATTCCTTACTTTGGTATCAGAGTGTCTTGCAGGTACACCCTCCTCCTCATCTTCATCACTGGTGAACAGGCAGCAGCCCAACAGAATGTGGCCAGCTATTGATCTCATTCTGATCAAATTAGATCAATATCTTTAATAAGGAACATGTTTCTTACAATTAAAATATATATGTAAGGGTTGTTAGTATTTTTAATAGTAATTTATGGTCTAACGTTTACATAGAGATTCGGTTTCAAAAATAATAACCATGAGTGTCTAACATGAATGCCTTTATTCCTTTATTGTAAAGTACTGTAACTCTTTTACAATAAACATTCACTAAAATGTATGGTTTTCTAAAATAATAACTAACTTAAAAACTCTTTATATGATCACAAAGAAAACTCTTCTTTACTTGCTCACATTTGTAAAAATGAAAAGATTTGGATTGTTGGAGTTAAGTTTGTAGCACTTCTTAATTTATAAACCTTCGTTCATATGGACTATTTTAATTTCACCGGTAAGTTTTATAGTGTTTTCTTTTTTTCCTTTCTATTTAGGTTTATAGTGTTGTGTTAATGCAAAAATTTTAAAATAAGTTCATAGTATTTTTTATATAAGAAAATATTTTTAAAAATATATAATAATAATAATACTTATAGTCCTTTTTATAAAAAAATATTATAGGTTGGATGACTTTGTTTTTTTCGTTTTTTTTAAAATAAATTTATAAATTTTTTATATAAATACTATAAGTATATAATAAGATATTCTTTTTATTTAAAATTTTATAACGTTAATTTTAAAATTATAATTTGTTCTGTTTGAATAACACCTTTTATTTTTATAAAAATATTATTAAACTATTGAATGGTTGTTACAGTAATTTAAATTTAACGTATTATCATATTCTGGTTAAAAACTATTATTTTAAAAATAAAATAAAAACTGAAATTTAAATTAATTAAAATGTTCTTTGAAATAAATATTATTTAATATTTGATTTAATTTCATTAATTTTATTTTTATTTTTCCTAAACAGTTGAATAAGTATGTTTTACAACATCAATATATATGGCGTAACTTAAACGCTTTTTTTAATTAAACATAAGAGTTTCAATTGTATCTAACTTATTTTAAATATTCTTGCTTAAACGTTAACAAGGCATGTCTATATTGAAAGCAAAATAAGTTAAAGCTTATATATTTATAAGATAAAGTAGTTGAATGTCTTTTGTTGAATTGTAGATTGCATAGAATACAACTATGCGATAACAGAGAGTTGAATGTAGGTTGTATCTAACATATCACATGCGAATGTTTGTGATTCCTTATATATTGTCATGTTAGATTGATCAATTGTGTAGATTTCATTCTATTCTAAGAATTGAAGGTAATATTAATCAATAAAAAATAAAGGTGATGGAAGTTAAGAGAGTACAAACCTTGGCTTTTAACCAGTTGAAGGAGCTTCCACCACAATTTGTTCGTCCAGATAATGAAAGACCAGAGAACACCAAAGCATTGGAGGGTGTTAATGTGCCTATCATCTCATTGTCTCAACCGCACCATCTTTTAGTGACAAAAATCACTGAAGCTGCTTCTGAGTGGGGTTTCTTTGTCATCACTGATCATGGTATTTCGGCGAAACTCATCGAAAATTTGCAGGATGTGGGTCAAGAGTTCTTTTCTCTACCTCAAAAGGAGAAAGAGGTGTATGCAAATGATCCATCTAGTGGTAAGTTTGATGGGTATGGGACCAAGATGACCAAGAACTTAGAAGAAAAAGTTGAATGGGTGGATTATTATTTTCATCTCATGTCTCCTCCTTCTAAGGTTAACTATGAGATGTGGCCCAAAAATCCTTCTTCCTACAGGTTAGTGTGTTTCATTATAATTTAGGAGTTTATAAAAATAAAGAAACTATAAATGTATTGTTTTGGTGTGATAGGAAGGTAACAGAAGAATACAATAAAGAGATTTTAAGGGTGACAAACAATCTCTTGGAACTTTTATCTGAAGGGCTAGCATTGGAGAGTAATGTTTTGAAGTCTTGTTTGGGAGGTGAAGAAATAGAATTAGAAATGAAGATAAATATGTATCCACCTTGTCCACAACCTGAACTGGCATTAGGAGTTGAGCCTCACACTGATATGTCTGCTCTTACCCTACTTGTCTCAAATGATGTTCCAGGCCTTCAGATTTGGAAGGAAAATGGCTGGGTGGCGGTAAATTACTTGCAAAACGCACTCTTTGTGCACATTGGTGACCAACTTGAGGTAATAGCATGTCACGTTTTAATGAGTTATATGTATTATTCAATGGTAGCTCTAATAAATGTTCTCTTTGACAAGGTAGGTGTTGAGTAATGGGAGGTACAAGAGTGTATTGCACAGAAGCTTGGTGAACAAGGAACGCAAGCGCATGTCGTGGGCTGTATTTGTTGCTCCTCCACACCAAGTTATGGTTGGGCCTCTTCCTCCACTTGTCAATGATCAAAATCCGCCTAAATATTCAACAAAAACCTACGTCGAGTACCGCTATCGCAAATTCAACAAAATTCCACAATAAGGAAAAGACAATAATAAAATTTGATGGTTGTAGTAAGCACACAATTATATCGTGTGATAAAAAAATCATTCTATCGTAAACTTTGTATTAGTTATCACTTTCTTCTCGCTGTGCCAATTAGCTAAAATAATTGTAATGGGATTATGATAAGTCGCAACAACATCAATTTTCCTAAGCTATCAGTATCAAAATTTTCAAAATTACATCAGCTAATGCAACCTCTTTCCTCTTTCCAAGAATGATAATATTGTCGTGACAGAACTTATTATAATGGTTACTCCTGCACATCAAGGTTGTGTCTCATTGTCTTTCAATAAGATTTGTAAATTGTAATTGTTTGATTGCTTTCATGATTTTATCTTATAAGACATAAACTCTAATAAATTTTATGCATCTCTTTCTGGTTATAAAGACTCGTAAATTTTAAATTGTTCTATTAATATCACGATGTGTTAGGGAGCTAGAGCTTTATTACTGTAAAATCTAAAGTAGGAAGAAGAGATTTACTAACTAGAAAATAAAATAACTTTCTCAAAATATAACAACACATATCACAGTTAGAAGTTATGTCAGTTAAGCATTAAAGAAGTTTGTTGGGTGGTTAATAATTGGTTAGTAAGATAGTTCATACACTTTGTTATCTTACAAATTTGTTATTTTGCCAAATAATCTAAGAGTTTCAGCTTGTGCTAAGGGAATAGTTCGTCGTACACAAGTTTTCTGTTTGCGGGTGAGTGTTCAAATTTTCTGCTCATTTTCATCTTCAGTTCAAAATGCATTCAAGACCTCATGATGATTCTCCTCCAAAGGCAAAAAAGAAGATATCTGAAATGGAAAATAATAAGGTCAGATGTGAAACTTCTTTAAACCTTCATGCACCTATTATTCCTTCATCTTTTTCTTCTTCTCCGAATTTGTTGTAGTTCTGCATAAAGTTACTCACTTGATTGGTCCTCAAAGACTACAAAAGCATCATGGATAAATGCTTCAACATCTAGAATATTTCATCACCAAATTAGTTGTTGATTATATTTACATAAATTATATTGATACATCTCTAGAATATTTCATTACCAAATTAGTTGTTGATTATGTTTACATGAATTATATTGATGTCTTTGAGAAAGACAAGCTTGAGAAATTTTTGACTGAATATTTGTTATAATCCTAATCACGTCAAGGGATTGTATTGCTGGTAGAGTAAAAAAGTGATTCAATATGGGGAAGTTTATGGACATCAAAGATATAAGTCAACTAGTAGCTATTTAGTTTTGATGACGACGACACTTAAAGTCAATCAATGACAGAAGATAAATGAAACACTCAATAATGCATAAGATGATTAATAAAACTATCCTCGAATCAAGCTAGACATATATTTAAAGTCAACACTTTAGTCGTTCAACTCTCAAGTGAAGACTTAGATTTCAAAGATAACAGGTGTTTTAACCTTTCAAACTCTCATATGACAGTATACAACATGCAAATATCTCAAGCATTAAAATCAAAGATAATAATGCCAATATTTGAAGTTTTAGAGTGTGAAATAGAGGAAGTGTGAAAGCTCGCATGGTCGTTTCTGTTTGAGTGACCAGTGTCTTGTAAAGACATAAGGGTGTAGTTTTATATTTGTAAAATACCCGACGAAGGTGATGACCTTAATTCGCCCTCGGGAGAGGCGGCGACCATATGTCTCCCTTAAGAGGTATCATCTCACTCTAATATTTTCCTCTCAAACGTTAGATAGGAGATTTTTGGGCAAAGAGAATTCAAGGTCAGTAGTTAATCCACAACCCTTTGGAAATAGAGATTCAACGGTCCACCATTGACTAAGTGGACGATGACATTTTCCAAAGAACCTTAGGCCCAAAGCCTCTATAAATACCTCCCCGCAATGAGAGTGATGGAGAATCCTAATTCATACTTTTATACCTAAGCAGCACATAAATACACATAACCTCTCACCTCATGTGAGCAGGTCCCCTAACCACCATACATCGTAATATACTTACTAAGGTCTCTTAGTGTCCACTACTATAAAATAGACCTTTGGTAACACTATATTACTACAAGCATTTTGTTAACTGTAGTAATATCTTATTTTTACATGCTTGATTTTATTTTATTTTATTAAAAGACTTTTAATCACTGTTCATAATAACTACAGTGATGATAGATTTAAGGGTACAAGCTTTGAATTCCAACATCAACATTTTACATTTTTTCTATACAAAAAAGGTTTTGTCCATTAACTTATATTGTTAAATCACATTTTAAAAATAATTAACTATGATTGTTTTTATCAACCGTGGTTATATGTGTCATATTTCACTATGGTTGGTATTTGCAACTATGGTGATATTCTTTTCTGCAAAATTAAAACATAACAGTTTCTTTATTTCCTTCCAAAAAAATGAGGTGGAAAAAAAGAAACCCTAGCGAACTAGACGACACCGATAGCAAAATCTTCATTTTCACCATCTTCATTCATTTCTTAGAACGTCCAATCTTCACCATCTTCATTCATTTCTTAGAACAAAAATCATTTCTTTATCTCTTCCTCCTCTTCAAAGTACGATATGTTACCTTTCTATGGTTATTGTTCATTTTTAATTTCTTGATCTCTCTCTCGTGTTGTGGCGAGATTTTCCTTTATGCGGTGTTGATTTTCATATCGTTGCAATTGGATTATTTTGTATTTTAGTTTATTTATATTTTGTGATGTTTTTGATGTTATGAGGCTATGAGATCTATCCTGTTCATGTTGCCCACTTTGTGTGTAAAGTAAATTTTAGATGCTCACATTATATAAAAATAAACTCTATTTCACATGGGTTGACCTTGGCAAGGAAACTTTTATGACTGAACCATTCATCATGACTACTTAAGAAAAACAAGTCTTTTATGTGACTTACCCTTCAGACTTATCGAGGAGATGACCAATTGGTCTCCTAGAAAAACACATTCCTCGTAGTGATTAAAATGTTGATATTTCTTCCACTCCTTCTTATGCAACACAAGTGCCTTCTTCATATGAAAAAGTTGATAAAAATGATGTGCATGCTATTCATAACTATCATGAAGAAGACATGTGGAAAAATTAACAAGTAAGTTTTTTTTTAAATTATTTATTCATAATTTAGTGTAAGTTATAATTTCTAAGTTAAATACTAAAAAGTATTATCATTTAAAATTATAGGTGTTTAAAGTCAAAACACCAAGATACAAGACACCAAGATACTATTATTTAATGTTATGATGTGTAAATTGTAGGTTGTTTGTGTCATTTTGGTTTTGATATGTAATACACAATTTTTGATTTTTAATGCAATTTTGGCTTTGATTTAATACAATTTTTGGTCTGATACGATTCACAAATGAGCGTGTTGTTGTTTCTGCTGGTCTGATACAATTAAAAAACATTCAACTTAAAAAAATGGGAGTTCTGTAAAATAAAAAAATATATACTTATAAAAATAAATAATTTCACAATGGTTGTTCAATACAACCGTTGTTATAGGTAGAGTGATATTCAGAATAATAAACGTCAATAATGACGTTGCTGAGTATCAAGCCTAGAACTTATATTTCACTACGGCTGTTCAATACAACTGTGGTTATAAGTAGCATACTTTCTAATTTACTACAACGAGCAATATATCATAATTGTAAATAGCACTCTTACAACCACACACTATCTAACAACAAACATACAACCGTTATTATATGTCTTTCATAATCGTTGTCATATGTATTTTTCATAGTACTATAATAACTAGGATATCAAACGAGTTTTGATAAATTTTGATAAGTCTATTCACGTCCTGGTCTAAGACATTTTAAAAAAAATACAATTCATTTATAACAACGTGAAAGTGTTTAATGACTCATTAATAAAATTGTCTGACAAACAAGTACAAGAGATATTGTTTGATACAAAATAAAGAAAAATATATAAGAGAGAATATGAAAAATGAGAACAATGTAAAAAATAAAGAGATATTGTTTGATATAAAATAAAGAGAAGCAAAAGAATTGAATTTTCACAATTTTCTTTTGGTTTACCAGAAACTAAGAAAAGAAAAATAAAAATATTTTTAAAGTTACAAAATATATTTGAATTAAAAATTAATGTATAATTTAATGTTAACTTGATAAATTATTTTGATATAATTATTTGATACTTTATTTATTTATTAAATAATTAATAATATTGTAATCCGTTAATTTAATATTTATTTCAAATTTACTAATTAATAATTTGCTTATTTTAGTTAAAGTTTCCAATAAACTGTATTAATATATTTTGTGAATTCTAATAGTAACATTTTCAAAACAACTTTTCTATGAAAGTTAAAACTTATAGACAACAAAACAAATTCGATTAGTTGAAATAAATAAAACCAGAGAAGGGTAAGATAGGTAAAATAAAAATGGGAGTAGTGCGTTTCTATGCAATTTCTTCTCTCTTTCATTTCTCTCTCTTGCTTATTTCTCTCAAAACACTCAAAAGTGTCAAGGTTAGTGAAGTTTCCCGCGTGAAAATCAGAAAATCCGGACCCTCGTTTAACCTAGCATCCGCCACTCTAATTCAAGCACGGGCCAGCGACTGCTCGTTCCGAACCGCTGCGAACGCCGCGTATAGCTCTCTCCGATGGCCCCTTCTTCTCCGAGTAACAATTGTTTGCAACCTCTTTCAACCGCAGAGAATGATCTCCAGGTTCTTTTCCCCCATAAATCTCTCTGACAATATCACGTTCCATTGCTTTCTAGGTTTTCTTCTCAAGTTTCAATGTTGTTTTATTCCAAGTATTTGTTTCAGTAATCTTACTAATTTCATCAAATGCAAATTATTTGTTTCGTGATGGGTTCATATTGCAGATTTTTAGCCTTTCGCCATGGACAACAGTGTCTGAAATTGGGGAAAAAGACATGATTCAACTACAACTAAAATGCTGATTCATTCCTTATTTCTTTTGTTTGTTTTGATAGCCGTTCTTTGTTCTACATAAAGCTTCACATCACGGGAAGGATAGGACATCAGCAGGACAAGGAAAACCTCGCAAGAGAAATAAGCTTTCTCCTTGGTCGCCACAGAGTGCTAATAAACCGAAAGAAAGTTCAGCGGAAGAATGTGACCGCCATTTGTGTCAGAAAAAGCAGATTGAAGCTTTTGATATTGTTTGGACAAAAATTGAATCTACCATTAAGGTCTTCTAAATATCTTCCCTCAATTCTTGAACTTACATTGATTTTGCCGTACCTTAATATAAGAAGTATAATTTATTTTCAGTCTTTACCTCCGGGTGAACCAGTAAGATAATTATTGAGTAGTTTTCTTTCTATTGCAGGATGTCTTGAGAGACCTCAATGCTAGTGTATTCAATAATATACAACAATGGGTTATGGAGTGCTTTGATACTACTAGATTAGTTGGAGAACCAAGCATTACTGAAGCAACTCGGTCTTTTCCTGTTCTAAATAATACTACTCCTTTGAAGGTGTACAGTGCATTAGTTATTACCAGTAAGTGTTTTCCCATTTTCGATAAATATCATGAATGCTTTGATAGTCAACCAATTCTACAAAAAATGCAGCCCGGTATTTTTTGTCAATGAACTCTAGTATTATGAAGAATGAAAAAGAAAAACCATTTATATCTATATATAAAATCCTGAGATTGAACTATGATTGGCAGGAAACATAGAGTTTGTTGATGATGTAATGACATTCGAAGAGCTTGGCCTTTTCTTGAAATCCCATGGATGTCACGTGGCTATGCTCTCATCAATGGAGTTTTCGTTAAAAAATGGAATTGCTGGTTGCTTGAAAGCTTTATTGCGAGAGTTTCTAGGGAGTTCTTTCGACGTGGGTGTTTCTATGAACTTAATATGTATAATTAAATTAATTCTATCTACTGCCACTGACTTCTTTACTTTTAATTTTCTTTATCCTCTTGTTAAGCAGCCATCTGATATACAAACCTTAGCATCATGGTATAGAGAACAAGACAACTATAATAAACCATTAGTGCTGATGATTAATGATTTGGAAAGGTGTTGCGGATCAGTCTTAACTGATTTTATCCTGATGTTGAGGTATGTTTAGCATCGTTTGTAAGTGTGCATGCATGTATATTTGTAACCTAGTCTGTATTTGTGCATCTTGAATGCTTTTGGTTATTTTAAAACTTCGGTTAACTATGGTGGAGGTTTCACTACGTACCACACTAACAAGTAACAACCAAAGTTTTATTTCTAATTCTATAGTGTGGTTTGTTAGATGAATTCTATGATATTATTGTGTTCTATCAAAAACACCTACTCTTACAGTGTATATAGTTTATTGTATATTTCCGACATTTGGAGATTGTAATTTATTTATTTGTTTATTTATTTTTAATATATAATATAACGGCAATGATATGAATTGGCTTTCATCTTTTAACATTTTTTTATAATAGCGAATGGGTTGTCAAGGTGCCAGTCATCTTAATATTTGGAGTTGCAACGACAGTGGATGCCCCAAGAAACATTTTTCCATCACATGCTCTTGAGTGTTTGTGCCCTTCTATGTTTATGCTTGTAACACCAGCTGAGAGAATGGATGCAATTGTTGAATCTGTTTTTATAAAACATTGCACCACATTTAATATTGGTCATAAAGTGGCGCAGTTATTGAGAAACTACTTCATCAACCAGGATGGGACAATAACATCTTTTATAAGAGCTTTGAAGGTTAATGGTGCAAGTTTCTGGTTGCTGACAGTTCTCTGTATTGCCATTTTATGAATTACATAGACAATGACAGGATATATGACCTAGTCTTTACATGTCACATTTTTTTTTACTTATCTTTCAGGTAGCATGCTTATTACACTTCTCTATGGAACCTTTGAGTCTCATACAAGGGAGAGTTACCGTTGAAGATGAGGTCTGTCTTAAACTACTCCTTTAATATTTGAATCACTTTTCTTAGTTTGCTCTTCAAATATGATCCTAGTATCATATAGCCCAAGCTAGTTTTGTTTTCTTCAGATGGTTTAGTGTTTAATCTGTGCTCTTGTTACTAAAATTTGAACATTTCACCATATGGAAACATGTACTTGATATTTTCATTAATTGTTAAGGGGAGCAGTATAAGTGTTAGTACTAAGAAGGGGTTGTTATGACTGCACTATCTGGTGCATTGCAGATAAAGCCGCATTGCGGCAACCATAAGCCATAAGTAACAGATTAAGTTGCACAGTTTATGCACATCCATTATTCCATCGGCTTCAACCAATGCTATTACTCGTTGGTATAATTTAGTTGATAAGAAAGACAAACTTGCCTTGAACTTTTTCTTGCTCAATATTTTTATTGGAATTTCCGCCTTCATTACAGTCCACCCCTAGTCCCCTAAATTGCGGCATCTGCTTGGCTAAATTGTAGCCTCCAACACCTTCATTGTGTTGCGTTTGAAGGGGGTGAATTTAGTCACACATTGCTTAGAGATATGGCCTATGTCGTGTTTATAAGTGGGGGCAATCCTCACCCTACAAGCCGGTTTTGTAGGGATGAGTTAGGCCTAACCCAAATTCTAAGATGGTATCAGAGTGTATCTTAGATCCTTTGTTGGGTTTCCTGTATCGTCCACTCTTCGGGCTCATTGATGCCCAAGCGTGAGGGGGAGTGTAGGAACTTGCGCCTTAATTGCGGCATTTGGCTTGCCTTCATGGCATCCCCCAACACCTTCATTGTGTTGGGTTTGTAGCGGTGGATTTAGTCCCACATTGCTTAGAGATATGACATGTGTTGTGTTTATAAGTAGGGATAATCATCACCTTACAAGCCGGTTTTGTAGGCATGAGTTAAGCCCAATCCACATTCTGAGAATTTTAATAAATTTTATCATCTTGTTCTTTTTTATTTTATTATTTTAATAGTTGAATAACCTATTTTACACGTGGGTATAATTTAGTTGATAAAAAAAACAAATTTGCCTTGTACTTTTTCTTGCTTAATATTTTAATAAATTCTTTTCATCTTATTCATTTTTTATTTTATTATTTTAATCGTTGGATAATAATGGTTTCTCAGGTGAGAAATTCTGGATTATCACCTGAGACAATGTTGAAATACTTGGAGGAGCTTCCATCATATGCAAGGTATTACACATTACATATTTTCAGGTTCTAATTTTGATATTTTAATGGAAATAACAATGATTTCACCATTTGGTTATAATTTGTCTAGGAATGAAGAGGTTTATCAGACTAAGAAGAGCATGGCCAAGGGTTTGTCAGAATTGCTGACAATTCAGAAACTATGGAGCACTGTAGTTCTCGTAAGATATAGGAATCGCTTTTAAAGACTTTTGCACTCATCTTCTGTTCTTATTGGTCAAATTCCACTTTTTTTTTTTTAAAATCTATTGATGACAGTTCAAATAATACAAAGTAATTTTTCAGTATATTTTATAATAGTATTTAATTCATATATGTAAAATTTTTTTAGACCATCAATCAACCGTCACATCATTAAAAACATTTGAGTTTTCACATATCTACTAATAAAATGACACATAATTGACTGTGATTTGTTGATAGTGTAAAACTTTTTACACCTTAAACTATTTAAATTTGGGCATTGAAATTGATAAAATGAATTCATGTAGTCAACCTTAATATAAACCTAGGGATTGATCTTACATGTGGAATAACATAGTTTTCCTAGGCCTCTTGGAAACTATTAAGTTTGCGAAGATGCTAATAAAGTGTCAAACTAATGCGCATTTGTATTAAGAATGCTTGTTGCTAGTGGATATGCAACCCCAACTATTTTGTACCCTTCATTTTGATTACATTAGAGTTTTAGGTTTTCTATAGAAAATGGAATATTGAAGTCTCATCGGGTTTATGTGTGGCGCATGGAGCAATAGTACAAACTGTTATAGGTTTGATTGATGGCTGTTTGGGTGCCCTGACTTGTGGTATTTGATGTGTTAGCACAATTTGATGGAAGAATCACTTGCAGTTTAGGCTATGTTTTCTAGATGGTTAGGACCAATTGAAGGAAGAACCAACAAGGGTTGGGGGGGTGTTGAAGTCTGGTCCAGTATCAGAACATTATAACAGCTGGTTAGCCCGGAGTGAGGTATCCTAGAATAAAAACAAGACCAAAATGTGGAGAAGACTTTGTTTTCTTGTTAAGGAAGTATTGATGCCATGTATTTATAAATGTTTCATAGTTATTTAATGATGTTTTGAAATAGATATTTTTTACTATGAGTGTCTGCCGATCTTGAACTTCATTTTTGTATGTTTAAGGTTCCCTGTCCCTGACTTGTTATCATCATATTATCATCTGTGTTACTAGTGTGTTTCATCTCGTAATAAAAAAATTATCTTTTCCCAATGAAATTTTTTGGCAATTAGTTGTTAATGTGGATGAGTTGGAGTTCATGATATTGAACTATCCTTTTGTCCAGTGCCTATATGAGGCTGGAAAATATAGCGGAGTGCGGCTGCTGGATTTGTTTTGTGAAGCACTCGATCAAGTTTTGTATCCATCAAGGAATTCTGTTTCTAGTAAGAGGGATGAAAAAGACCATGGTTTGTCCTCAAAAAATGATCCCTGTCAGCAAGATTCCATCATGCAAAGTGGAGGTTCTATTTGCCAGATAGTACGCAAAGTGAGGTAACTAGGAGAATGACACTTGATTCCTTTTATTTACCATAAGAATCTTGCTGATGTGGAGCAATATCTGCTCTTAAGAGAAAACTAGTTAGGAAATCCGTGTGATGCACATTTAAGTCTTCATACAAAAAACAAATATTTTCATGAGATATAAGTATTTACTATTGAGGGATAATACTATTTATCATCTAAATGATTGAAGAGCTGAGAAAATGGGCATAGTAAAGAGACCAACAGTTTAATATTAGCATTATTTTCGTATAAGCTTAATATTTGCATTATAATTTAAGTATAAAATATGTTAAACTTTAATATTTGCATTCTAATTGAAGTATAAAAATATATTTAAGTTTAATACTTGCACTATAATTGAAGTATAAAAATAAATTGAAGTTTAGTATTTGCATTAAACTCTTGAACAGAAAAAGGAGGGAAGATAGATGTAAAAAAATTGCATCCAAAGCATACAGTTTTTAGCTACCTTCTTATTTTACTGCAAGAGTATTCCCGTGCCTGTATCTAATAGTTGAATAACTGTAACATCCTAAAAGAAAAGTGGGGTTCCAAGTAACGACAAACTAGAAATGATAACGTCTTTAGTCTTAATTAAAGCCCTAATGATAATCATCGAAATCAAATTGCAATTTTCATTTCTTTATTTATTTATTTGTCCATCTAAACCTTTCCTGGTGAACTTTAACATCCAGTTTCTAAGTATAAATGTTATAGATATGTCTAGATGTTGTTGATTTAGACACTTCACCCAAATCTTATTTTTGTGAAGTTCAAATATCTATAAACTTCTGATTGGAAATTATACAGGGATCTCCCTTCAGGAAAGCTAGATCAATTGATTGAGAGATGGGAAGAACTTACAGTAGATATTTCAGAGGTATGATTACACTTGAATATTTGTTTGCTAGGAATTTTAATTTAATTTTATTGTCTATATCATGTTTTGGAGTACTTTAGATCCCATTGTTGAATATTGGTATCTTAGATGATGAAGTCACTTGTGTTCTCTTTTTAGTGCCTGCCAACAGAAGAAGGTCAGTGTGGAATAATCAATACAGAATCAAATGATTCTGTTTGTACAGCTTATTAGGATTAGGACTAATGTAATTAATTAGTTATTATTTCCTGTTTTTACTGTAATAATTAGCATTTATGGGAAAATTAATTCCCCTGATTTCTAGGACAGATTTCCTTTTCAAACTTTGCCTTATGTATTATATAAATACTGCTATGTAATTCTCATAAAATATAAGGAAATATAAAGTATATTTCTACATGGTATCAGAGCACGATCTGAACCATCCCTAACCTAGCGCCGCCAAACTATGGAGGATCCTAAATCTGATGAAACGCTCAAAGTGGAGACTGGATCATTTCCGACCAGTTCACACGAAGGGATCACTCACCTCATCACAGGCCATAAATTAAATGGTCAAAACTATACCCAATGGATAAGGTCAGTCAAGATCTTCCTCGAAGGAAAAGGAAGGGAAGGCTACACCACGGGAGATTCTAAATGTCCTGCGGAAGGAGACAAAAATTTTCAGAAATGGAAACTTGAGAACAGCCAAGTAATGTCATGGCTGCTCAATACCATGAAAAATGAAATTGGTGAAAATTTCATGTTCTATGACACTGCAAAAGAGATATGGGATGCAGTGAAGGAAACGTACTCAAATGTTGACAATACATCTGTCGTATTTGAGATAAAAAGCATTCTTCATGACATTCGACAAGGAGAATCTTCTGTTACCGAGTATTTTAACATACTTAACAAACACTGGCAGCAACTGGACATATATGAAGAGGTTACATGGTGTTGTACAGAAGATAAAAAGAAATATAAGGAATTGGTGGAAAAAGATAGGATTTACAAATTCCTATTGGGACTAAACAAGGACCTAGATGAAGTTCGTGGAAGGATCCTTGGAACCAAACCACTTCTCAAAATTCGAGAAGCCTTTTCAGAAGTGAGAAGGGAAGAAAGCAAGAGGAAAATCATGTTGGGGACACCCAACTCAGTTCCGTACAGCGAGAGCTCTGCAATGGCAGCAAGGGGGAATCAGCCTCGACCATCACAAAAGAAAAACCGCCCCTGGTGTGATCACTGCAAGAGACCAGGCCACACAAAGGAAACATGTTGGACCATACATGGAAAACCTTCGGAGGCAAAATTGTTCAAAGGCAAGGAGGGCAGAGGTAACACAACATTTAACAACCAAGAAGCTGAGGTATACTCTAACTCATCTCCTTTTAGCAAAGAACAAATGGAGGCTCTTCAAAAACTCCTTCAGCAAACTATGTTAACCGTAGAAAAAGGTGGTACTGCTGTAGTGGCTCAAAGAGGTAATTATTTACATGCTCTAAACACTAGTAAAGAAAAAACAAAATCATGGATTGTTGACTCAGGGGCCTCAGATCACATGACTGGAGATTTCACCCTGTTTAATAGTTATTCTCCATGTCCCTATAACTATAATGTTCGAATAGCCGATGGTACACATTCTAAGGTCATGGGTAAAGGATCAATTATAATTTCACCAAATATCACTCTTGACTCTGTTTTGTATGTGCCTACACTTGATTGTAACTTGCTGTCCATTAGCAAGATTACAAGAGATTTGAAATGTGTTACTAAATTCTTCCCTAACTTGTGTGGATTTCAGATTTTGGAGTCGGGGAAGACGATTGGCAATGCTGAAGAGTGTGTTGGACTCTACTTCCTCCAAGTGGAAAAATCAGAGAAAAAACTCAATAATAACTATCATGTTGCAGCTGCAGTTTCAAATGATAATAATTCTGTAATGATGTGGCACTATAGATTAGGCCACCCAAATTTCATGTACTTGGAAAAGATTTTTCCCTCGTTATTCAATAAAAACAAGGAACATTTTCAATGTGAAATCTGCCAATTGTCTAAACATACCCGAAACCATTACCCACCCCAATCCTATAAACCATCCAAACCTTTTTCATTAATTCATAGTGATGTATGGGGACCATCACGAGTCCACAACATTACTGGCTCGAGATGGTTTGTCACCTTTATTGATGATCACACACGTGTTACATGAGTGTTTCAAATGAAGAAAAAATCAGAAGTAGGGAGAATATTTGAAATTTATCATAAGATGGTACAAACACAATTTCAAAGCAATATTCAGATACTTAGAACTGACAATGGTCGTGAGTATTACAACCTTGCTCTAAATTCCTACCTTCAAAAGGTTGGAATTGTTCATCAAAGTTCGTGTGTGGACACTCCCAAACAAAATGGAGTAGCAGAAAGGAAGAATAGACACCTTTTGGAAGTGACTAGATCAATCATGTTGGCCACAAATGTCCCACAACACTTTTGGGGAGAAGCTGTCCTTTCAGCAACTCACCTTATAAATCGAATGCCTTCCCGTATCCTTAACTTTAAGACCCCACTCTCCACACTTCAAAACCTATTTCCAACCAGCAAAATCTTTTCCTCTATTCCATTAAAAATATTTGGATGCTCAACTTTTGTCCATAACCTCAACCCTCACCGAAGCAAATTAGACCCAAAATCCATCAAATGCATTTTTCTTGGTTACTCTCCTCACCAAAAGGGTTATAGGTGTTACTCTCCTCATACCAAAAAATTTTACCACACTATGGATGTAGCCTTCTTTGAAAATCAGCCCTATTACACCAAAACTGGTATTCAGGGGGAGCAATCATACATACATCGTATTGAAAATTCAGAATACCAACTTTTGCCTCTTGAACTAACCGAACATGAAAAAATCTTACCAGACCAAACTGGTAACACTCAATCAGCCGAACCTATGCCTAAACCAACTGAAAAATTACTAAACCAAACCTCTAACATTCAGCCGAGTGAAAGGACAACAGAAGCTGTGACGGAAACCGAATCAATTATAGTCTCAACCACACCTCAACAGAATTGTGATCCAAAAACTGGTAACTGGAAGGTTTATAAAAGGAGGAGGAAGGAAGTAGAGTCAAGTATAGCTCCAATGCAAGGCCATGAGTCCAACCAAGCTCTAGAAAATGAAGTTCCCACCGGTAATATTCTCCCTAACTCTGAACATATTGTTACAAATACAGTAGATATGGATATTCCTTTTGCTATGAGAAAAGGGGTTAGAACATGCACCAAACACCCTATTGAAAAATATATCTCCTATGGAAAACTATCACAAAGTTACAGGTCTTTTGTAGCAGCTGTTGACAACATAGAAATTCCAAATAATATTCAAGAAGCATTGCAGAAAGCTGAATGGGCAGCAGCTGTAACAGAAGAAGATCAAGCACTTGTAAGAAGTGGCACATGGGAGATCACCGCTATACCAGAAGGGAAGAAAGCAGTAGGATGCAAGTGGATATTTTCAATTAAGTACAATGCTGATGGGAGTATAAATAGGTACAAAGCTCGGTTGGTTGCTAAGGGGTTTACACAATCATATGGGGTGGATTATGAGGAGACTTTTGCACCTGTTGCGAAGCTCAATTCTGTTCGGGTTCTACTATCTCTGGCAGCAAATCTAGATTGGCCCCTGTACCAACTAGACATAAAGAATGCATTTCTAAATGGTGAGTTAGAAGAAGAGGTATATATGAAAATTCCTCCAGGACTTGAATCACCCGGGACCTCCAACATGGTGTGTCGACTTCGAAAATCTCTATATGGCCTCAAACAATCACCAAGGGCATGGTTTGACAGACTAACAAAAGTTGTCAAGCAAGATGGTTTTGTTTAATGTCAAACAGACCATACTATGTTTGTCAAGCACTCTTTGGATGGGAAGATAGCTTTGTTTATTGTCTATGTTGATGATATCGTAATTACGGGAGATGATGATGAACAAGTCAACCAGTTAAAGAAACTTCTAGCCAAAGAATTTGAAGTCAAAGACTTAGGACAACTCAAGTATTTTCTAGGGATGGAAATTGCACGGACAAAGAATGGTATTTCAGTTTCTCAAAGGAAGTACACTTTGGATTTACTTCAAGAAACAGGTATGCTTGGATGCAAAGCTGCCAATACTCCCATAGAACAAATAAAAAGGAGTGAAGATGAGAATATACCAGCTAATAAAGATAGATACCAAAGTCTAGTTGGAAAACTAATCTATCTAACTCACACCAGACCAGACATTGGTTTTGCTGTAAGCATGGCTAGTCGTTATATGTCAAATCCAACTGAAACTAACATGAGAAATGTTAACAGAATTCTCCAGTACCTAAAAGGTACGCCAGGTCGAGGACTCTATTTTCAAAAGAACTCAAACAGAGGTATTGAAGTCTACACTGATTCAGATTGGGCAGGATGTTTATCTGACAGGAAATCGACTACAGGCTACTGCACATTTGTATGGGGTAATATGGTAACTTGGAGAAGCAAGAAACAGTCTGTTGTGGCTAGGAGTAGCGCAGAAGCAGAATTCAGAGCTATGTCACAAGGTATTTGTGAAGGAATTTGGCTTAAGCGAATGCTAGGTGAAATAAAAATTCCTACCAAACATCCTATGAAGATATTATGTGATAACAAGGCTGCTATAAGCATTGTGAAGAACCCAGTTCAGCATGATAGAACAAAGCATGTAGAGATAGACCGACACTTCATCAAGGAGAAAATTGATCATGGAATTATAAGTGTTAGCCATATTCCATCATGCCAGCAAACTGCAGATATTCTAACAAAAGCCCTTCCAAGGAACATATATGAGAATATCAGATCCAATCTGGGTATGATAGACATCTACCACCCAGATTGAGGGGGAGTGTGGAATAATCAATACAGAATCAAATGATTCTGTTTGTACAGCTCATTAGGATTAGGACTAATGTAATTAATTAGTTATTATTTCCTGTTTTTACTGTAATTAGAATTAGCATTTATGGGAAAATTAATTCCCCTGATTTCTAGGACAGATTTCCTTTTCAAACTCTGCCTTATGTATTCTAAAAATACTGCTATGTAATTCTCATAAAATATAAGGAAATATAAAGTATATTTCTACCAGCAATCTTTGTTGTGCCCATTGGCCTTATTCTTCTGCAAGCTTATAAACTAGAAATGGTGCATTTGGTAGTGTCAGATAAACCATCTATAAGAGGCATTTATCTTATGACATAACAACTTATGGTTTATGTAAGTGTTTAGAAGAACTTGTTAAAATAACTTATAAAAAACGTGCATAAAACGTTTCAACTTATTTTCATAAGCTCATCTGGATAACTAATAAAAAACAACATAAAAGAGTTTATGTAGAGTTTACCCTCATCCCCTCTTCAATTGGAATTAAACTTAATGAGAGCTTACCAGCTTTTTCTATTGGAATTAAACTTAATAAGAGCTTACCAGCTTTTTCTATTGGAATTAAACTTAATGAGAGCTTACCAGCTTTTTCTATTTGAACTAAACTTAATGAGAGCTTACTTTTTGGTTAATCTGCATCTTTTGTTGTTAGGGATGGTTTGGGGAATAGAAATCATTTCCTAATATCTTGAGAGATTTCAACGTGCATGAAAAGAATGAGCTCCATGATCGATAAATGGGTAGAGTTTTTTACAAGAAGTTGGCAATATGTTATTGGCATATGATTTTCTGGAGTGTGTTGTTCTAAACAGAATGGGTGATGCTAGCCCAATGAGCATGGCTACTCATTGGATGAGAGAGAATAGAGGCATAATATTGTGACATGTGTTTCAACTATACAACAGTCAGTTTTATATGACCTTAGGGGAATAAGTACCAAATAAACATAGGAGATATTATTCTTATTTATATGATATGTTGTGATATGCCATTACAACAATCCTATACAATAATATTTTTTAAATATCATGCAACTGGAATTGATTCCCAATCAAAACTAATAATTACCAAATAATGATTTCTTGCAGATTCATGAGAAACTGAAAGTCTTGCAATCTTCAGTGAGATGTAAAGATGGAAAGAGTTCACGCAGAAATTCCAAGGACATTTCCAAGTAACATTCTAATTCTCCAATTTGTTGTTATTTTCTGATAGATTGTAGTTTAGTTGTAGATATTAATGGTCATGGGTTTGAGGTACTTTCTTCTTTGTTAAGGGTGACAAAAATAAGTCATTCAAATGAAGTGTTTCTTTGGTCTAGGAGATGGATTCCTCAAAAGATAAGAATAAAGTCTGAAAAGAAATAATTAAATTGGCATATTTTTAAATAAGTTATATTATTCTCTAAAATGATTTTTTTTCTTCTGATAACAGTAGTAGTTGAATTATAATACATAATAAGAAATGGGTGTATAGTTAGGATCTGAAACGAACAAACCAATCATCCTATTAATATACAAATATTAGGAAACAAATCATAATAAAATAACTATAGTAATGACAATATAAAAGACTAATACAGTAAGATCAGTCCCATCTAGCAAGGGAAATTGGGCCGTTTTATCACAGGAGGGCACTGGAATGACTCCCTATAAAGACTGTATATGGAAGGGAGCCTCCCTTTATCATTTGCGCCAGTTCTTTTCCATCAAAAGTAGAAGCAATGAATGTGTCTTCTGAGAAGATATTGCATCCTGGATGAATTGAGCAATAATTTGATGAGGGCACAACACATGATGAAGTAATAAACATATAAGAAATGCAGAGAATTATTACTTTGAGGCGAGAGAGAGATTGGATGTACAGCCAAGCAAAACAAGTTGAAGTCGTTTGTCTAAAGGCAAAATGAAAAACTGGCCTCTAAATGTTATGGTTCATTTAAAATTCTGGACATAATAGGAGAAATGGCATATAAATTACAGTTTCCTTTGACTAGCAAAATTTTACTGCAGTGTTTTATGTCTGGCTGCTCTGTTCTTCTGCTTGGGATTAATATAATCCTAAGATTAGAAAGTTCGTATGCGATGTTGTATTGTCTTCTTTGCTTTGGTTGTCACTTGCCAAGAAAGCTTTCTTGTCTGACCGATGCATACAATTTCATTTATTCCAATGAAATCTTTTTTAGTATTTTCTTAAATGATTGGTTTTCTTACTTTATTGTTTAATTGTTTATATTTTTAGGAGAGGTGTGTCCAAGGGTTCTATAAACATTGACCAGGACTCAAGAATGTCAAACTTGCAAGCTATTGCATTTCTTGATGATTTAGTCAGGTAATGATTAATATTGCCTCCATGTTTCATTTTTTTATGTTTCCAATCTTTTATATTGTATCAATATATATTATTTCCAAATACCTGGCTGGCTTAAAGGGGAAGAGTTTGGTTTTGATCTTGAATAAGTAAATGGAAAAGAAAAAGCAATTTGTTGTAAATATTAGACTAGAAATAGTAATTAGTAGTATTAGTAATGAGGCCCATTAGTCAAAACCCATTAGGTTTTCTATTCTCTCTTATTTAAAGCATGTAGTTGCAACATTGTAAGCAGAACTTTTAATTCCATCAGTGAAATATTTTACAAAATGGTATCAGAGCTCCTGTTTTTTGGGGGTCTCGCTTCCGCATAAACCCTAGCCGCCGTTGTAACAGAGTTTTTTTTTCTTTCTTTCACTGCCGGTCATCCTTGCAGTTTGTTTTTTTTCTTGGGTGTTTGGATCATTGCTGTTCTGTGTTGCAGCACATTCTATTTCTTGGCTTTGCTTCACATCTCTCACGGTTCACTCATCTTTGCAACCCTACACTGCTTGTTTTTTTGATATTTTGTGTTTTTTCTTTGTGATTCAATACATATCTGTTGTTTGTTCCTCTCGATTGTCCCTTCAATGGCCGAGATTATTAACGAACAGCCACCTCCGCCTCCACCTCCCACAAATCCACCAGTCCCATTTAATGCTAAGGATTTTGTCGTTCAAAGGTTACTGACTTACCGGAAAAAATTATTTTCAATGGTCTCAGTTCATCAGACACACTCTAAAATGTTGTGACATGCTAGATCATATTGAAGGCAATCCTCCTCTGGTTACTGCTCCTAATTTCCCTTCCTGGGATAAAGATGATTCTGCTATTATTACTTGGCTTTGGAACTCCATATCTCCAGAAATTAGTAGAAATTGCATGTATCTCTCAAGTGCAAAGGCAGTTTGGGATTATCTTCGTCGAAGTTATTCCATGAAACAAGATATGTCTGCTTGTTATGATTTAAAGAGGAAAATTTTCAACACTAAGCAGGGAAGTCTTTCGGTCAACGATTACTTTGGAGTTCTCAATGGTTTTTGGATTGAGTTGGATCAATATCAGAATTTGAAGATGGAGTGCAGCAAGGATATTGCCACCTTGAATACTGTTGTTGAGCGGGATAGGATCTTTGATTTCTTAGCAGGCCTTAATGCTGAATTTGACCCTATTCGGGTGCAGATTTTGGATAAGGAAAAATTTCCTGATCTTAATGAAGTTTTTTACACTGTTCGTAGTGAGGAGACCCGTCATCAAGCTATGCTTCATGAACAGCCCCCGGATTTGTCAGCACTAGTAACTAGCAAAACAACAAGACAAGGACCATCATCATCATCTAAGAATGGTCGTCCACGCTTTGGGCTCATTGAGGCCCAAGTGTGAGGGGGTGTGTTGGACTTTCTGCCTTAATTGCGGTCCGCTCTTAGTTGCCTTAATTGCGGCTCTTTGGCTTGCCTCATTGCAGCCCCAAACACCTTCATTGTGTTAGCTTTGGAAGGGGTGGATTTAGTCCTACATTGCGTAGAGGTATAACCTGTGTTGTGTTTATAAGTGGGGGCAATTCTCACCTTACAAGTCGGTTTTGTAGGGATGAGTTAGGCCCAACCTAAATTCTGAGAAAAAGTGTTAGTCTTCTCTCATATATCTTCTCTTCCCCATCCCATAAATTTTCTAAACCCCCTCATCCTTTCCAACAGAGCTTGGCTTGTTGCCTTTGTTTTTGTAAGAATATAAAAAATTACTCTTTACTGTTATGTATCTAAGTTAATCTTCCATTTTTCTCAATGCTGGTTATTAACTACTGTTACTGGTCATTCCTTTTCATGCAACAGGAATTATTTGAGGCCCATTGAAGGAATACCGTTCCATGAAATTTTATGCTTCAAGAATGTTGAGAAGCTTCAACTGGTAAGACATCAAAAGATGTTCGTTCTTCTCCATTGTACGTACATTCCATTCATATCAGCCACTGAAGTACAGTTGGGACTTGGGATTTATCTTGGAACCTGATAATTACATTTAGGCACTACCAGATGACAATCATAACTCTGATTAACTTATGATTGGCTACAGTCCATCACATCCTCCCTCTTGTATCACAAACGCCAATTGATAGATCTTATCCTTGCAACTAGGAAGGGTATTAATGCTTAATTAGTTTGTTCAAGAATGTAGCTTAGTTACACTTAGCAATAGCCTCGGCAAAAGTAGAAAATAAAACCCGAGTAAATGTATGTTTTTGCAAGATTACTTGAATGGATGTATTTGCTTCAGGAAAAAGTTTTTGACAATCTGCTTGATTATGGGAAACAGAGTTACTGTACGGGATATTTTCAGATATATAAGTAACTGAGATTTAGTTTTCCGAAGAATTTAATTCACAAATTTAAGTGACTAAATAATATTTTCCTGAAAAACCATTTTCATGCTCATTAATAGCCATTCCTATAAGCACCTTATACTTAAGGTGTACTTTTGAAAGAGGTGGGATAAGTGATATGTCAGGTGGGAGTTGTATTGTATTAGAATAACTGACTCAACAGAAGATAGTAAGTGGGGTAGCGGAGAACAGAATGTATACTAAAGGGCATAGAAAGGATTAGAGAGGAGCATACTGTAGACTGGGAGAGATTTGGGGCTCTTGATTTTCCTAAAGCTTTATTTCTTTTCAAGCTCACATTGAGCTAGGGGTCCACTCTGTTCAGTAGAGGAAGTTTTCTCGGTTGGTCTTTCTTTTCATTCTTGATGTCTTTTTTGGTCTTCTGTTGTTTTAATTAACTTGCTTGTATAGGTTTTGATTGGAGATCCAAGGAGAAGGATTCAAGTTGATCTGTTGGAGTTCCATAATATTTTACATTGTAGTTGTTGTAACAAGAGTGGCAAAGCCCTATTACCATCCATGCATGATTCCTCAATTATGTAAGTATATTGTATAATGCTTGTAGACATGACAATTTTTTTAACTTTTAACTAATGTTATTGTCTTTGCTCAGATAGACATAACATTTTTGTTTTTAATTGGACTTGAGTACCCGTACTATAAGTACCTAAGAGGTTGATTTTATTAGATAACCTTCAACAACTGCATCTCATGAAACTTTCTAGTATTATCTCCTCTGACATGTTAAAGCATCATACAAGATTTGAGTTGACATTTTGTGTACAGGTATTCGCTGGCTCAAGAGCACGGAGATCTTATCAATCTTCATGACTGGTTCCAGTCTTTTAGAACAATTGTTCTTCAACATACAAATAAACGGAAACAAAAATCAAAGCAGACTCCCCTACCCAAAAAGAGAAAAGACATGAGTGGATCTGAAGATCAGAATGAAGCATCAATTCAGTATCCTTTATATTTTTCATTGCAGAATCTAGCATGTCTATTGTGTTTTATATTTTCATGTTTCTCATTTTCATCTCATAAGTTGCGGTGAACCATTTTGTTTATCTTTGTCACAATCCTTAACTTTGGCTTGTCATAGAGCACGATTTTGCAGGGGAGTTACAGAGCTGCAGATCACTGGACTAGTTAGAATGCCTAGCAAGAGACGTCCAGATTTTGTACAGAGAATAGCATTTGGAATTTGAATACTGAATTCACCGGTTTACCTTCCTCCTGCGATTTATTAATTTTCTTATTAAAATGGAATGTAAGTATATTATCTAATTATTCATGGTTCACTATGATATGATAATTTGTTGATTGATACTAGAAGCTTCGCCCCCTCAAAAAACAAGACAGGTATAAAGGGAAATAGAGGTAGAGAGAATTGTCACCAAGTTTACTAAAGATTTATAACTATTACTTTTATAATTAAAGTGTAATTTTATTATTATTATTATTATTATTATTATTATTATTATTATTATTATTATTATTATTATTATTATTATTATTATTATTATTATTATTATTATTATTATTATTATTATTATTATTATTATTATTATTATTATTATTATTATTATTATTATTATTATTATTATTGTCATATGTCAAAAATAACAGGTTACACTCAAATTTAATGGTAATATTAAAATCGTCTTGGTTCACTTTTTTTAAGGGCCAATAAGTATATAAAAATAGTAAAGAGTAAAAATTCCATAATACAAAGGCAAAAGTCACAAGGCACACGAAACCATACTTAATACACGAAAATCTTACAATGCTCGAAAGCACCAAGATAACCATTGAAAACGAACTAACCTTGATTGTCAGACCCATTATCACCAGATCAGAAGGACATGACCGCTAGCTACACCAAAGCCACTGGCATTGCTGGAGCAAAAGGGACCACTTGAGCTTGTATTGGTTGAGTCACATGATAGGGTTTTTGAAAGATCTAGCCGAGGGTGAAAAATCTTGAAAAAGCATAGGCATAGGCTGACAAGGCGAAGGTGGCGAGGTTGCAAACTTAAAAACGTCAGCTTAAATTGATTTAAATGGAGGAGAAGAAGACCATCAATGATTTTACAACGAGAATTATCCGGTTGGTGAACCAAGTACACATGGATGAACGATCACAAAGTAGTATGTTGTTGCGAAAATCTTGCGTTCTTTGACGGCAAGATCAATAACATAGTCGTAGTGATTGAGGAATTAAAGGGTCTTATGACTATGAGCAAAGATGAGTTGCAGAGCTTTCTTGAGACACATGAGCAGAAAATGGACGAAAGAAATGTTGATAAGACAAAAGCGAAAATAGCTTTTCAAACCCGTTTCAATGAGAGACAAGAAGACGAAAAGAAAGTGTCCCATAAACAAAAGTAGAGAAAACTTTCACAATTTTGGTGGAAGAGAGTCTCACAATTCCAAAAACTCAACATTTCAAAATGGTGAAAACAGTGGTAGTAGGGCTACTGGATCAAACAACTCTAGAAGAGGCTATGCAAGAGGTAAGAGTGGAAGAAGAGTGATTGAAAAGAGCAACGTGCAGTACTTTAATTGTCAAAAGTTTGACCATTTTGCAAGGGAGTGCAATTCAAACAAGAAGGAATCTCAAGAAGATGAAGTTAGAGTTGCAAGACAAGTGTTCGATGAGGAGAACACACTTTTGGTAATGATCACAGAGGGAGAATGCAACAAAAATAAGTTGTAAGACAGCAACAACAACAATTTGAAAAATATTGCAAAAATGAAGTGCAATCGGTTACACAATAATGTCAACCGATTGCATAATGAAGAAAATGCAATGGTGACTTTGAAAGAAGCAATGCAATGTAGCGATCAATGGTATTTGGACTTCGGGTGTTCAACGTGTAACACCCCACTCTACCCCGTACACGTATTATAGAAATATTAAAGAAAATACATCAGAGTTTTCAAAACACGTAAGATGTCACACTAAGTCACTTCGTTCATTTTAAATAAACCAATGCTATCTAGCTTTCAATTAAACAGCGGAATAAAATCAATGTTTAAACATAATCCCTACAACCGGTGGTTATACATCATTAATCCAACAGATAAAAGATACATAACAATTAATCAAGAAAACAAGCAAAACATAATGTAATCCCGTCATCCCATGTTACGTATCATAGCGACACCTAGGACTCGACCAATTAGCACACCCTCCAAGCACTACTCAGGTACCTGGTCATCGACACTCCCCAAGGAGCACAGACACAACAAACAGGAGAGGGGGTGAGAACTACATTCAATAAATAAGCGGTGAAATACACATGCTAAGGAGTAGTTACACACCACACATATAATCATACACATACAACTCACATACACGTGCCATCTCAATCACCCGACATTAATAGCCCATAATCAAATACAAATATGTAATGTGACTCACTGACTCGACATAATGCATGTGGTACCAACACAATTACATACGGTTCACCCTAGAACCCGATTCCCGTCGGAATCCGGATAAGTCGTATATATTCCTCTGAACTACAACTTATCTCCACCACGACTTCCACATGAAGTCCGGATGAACTAGGCACCCATAATAGATTCCCATCTAGTCATCTCCACAAGACACATGACATGAAATGCATGATAACACAATTATGCAAATATAATAATTCCAAGCATAACTCACGATCATCAATGATCCACACGAGTCATCCGCTCACCGTAATCCTCTCGGAAATTACCACCATCACACCAGATCGTCCACATTGAGCGGTTTTGACCCACACATATCAATCACACCCCTAAGGGCAAAAACATAATTTTTCACATTCTCTCTAATTAAATTCATTACTAATCTTCTTTAGGTTCATTTTAGTCATCTTAAGCCTACCGATTAAACGTAATTGCGTTCCAAGCGAAATCTGAACAGGAATCACCAAAATTAGGGAAAAGTCCCCCCAGGCTGCCCATACACGTAACACCCTTCCCCATACGCGTATTGCCCTGCTGGCATACGCGTATGGACACTCCCTTACGCGTATTGGCAGAGGCTCACACCTCTCCAAGTTCCCTCATGCAACCCCTTACGCGTATGACTACCCTTCATACCCGTATTGACCAGGCCCATATGCGTATGGTACGCGTATCACCGGAGGGTCGTGCTGGTCTTGGGGACATGGCACGTCCGCTACACGTACAACCCTTGGGAAGCCCCCCATACGCGTATTGACACCCCCAATACACATATGACCATCAAATCTATCAAAAAACTCAGATCTCGTCATTCCCACGAGTTCCCTCTCAAGCTCCATCATTCTACCTTCCCATTCGTCCGAAAACTCAGATTTTGATCGATTCGATTAAGCCTATCTTCTATTATCTCAAGATTTCACTTATTAGATCTAATTTCGATTACTGTTAAACCCTTAATTCTCAAATCTAACATCTGTCATAAATTCATCATAGTGCTCATAACTTTTCACACGAATTTTAGATCAGTTCTAGAATTCGTTCATCTACCATCAGACAATAATATTCAACAATGACAGCAATCACGAGGAACATCACAAAGTTACGAAATCAGATCAATGAACAAGAACAAACAGAATTTCCTACGAGAGAAAGGACCTCTCACTACCCTCTCATGTCAAATCACCCATATTGAAATCCATTCTCCCCCTTACCTTGGATTGAAGCTTTTTCCTTGACAACAATGGAGAATTTGTTCCTTTTTACCCTAGCTCTCCTTCCTCTGCCTTTTTCCTCTTTCACGTGTTAACTGACAAACTCCTTCACTAACCCTATCTTAACCCCCCTTAATCATACTTTAATTCATTTAATTTAATTACTAATAATAATAATACTAATAATAACCATAATAATAACCATAATCCTATTAATATTATTATTAATAATAATTGAAATAATAATATTAATAATCATAATGCTCTTAATCTTGTTATTAAATTATCCCTTATTCTAGGTCCACGTTACCCCAACTAAGGTCACCTCTCACTCTTGCCCTCTAACTTCACATTCCTAATTAAGGACATCACACATAATACGCACACAACCAAGCATGAAATGACTAAATAATTCAAATGGGGTGTTACAACTCTCCTCCACTTAAAATATTTCTATCCTCGAAAATGTACCTGATGAGAACAATTCCAGATACGACTCTCGCATCTTGCTCTCCAATTCCCAGGTCACACTTCCTCCAGCAGCTCCTCCCCAAGCTATTCTCACCAACGAGATATCTTTCCCTCTTAGTTGTTTCGTCTTGCGCTCCTTGATCCTCAACGGCATCATCTCCAGCGTAAGGTTATCTCGAACTTGTACTTCATCTCTCTGAAGCACATGAGATGGAATAGCAACATACTTCCGAAGTTGCGATACATGAAACACGTCATGTAAATTCGAAAGTTCGAGTGACAACGCCACTCTATAGGAAACCGCTCCAACCCTCTGCAGAATCTGATACGGTCCAATAAACTTAGGATCCAATTTCTTCGATTTCAGCGCAGGCCCAACACCGGTCACCAAATTGACTCTAAGAAATACATGGTCACCCTCGCTGAATTCCAAGTCTTTCTTTCTATTATCATGGTAGATTTTCTGCCTACTCTGGGCCATCTTTATTTTCTCCCTAACCATCAGGGTTATCTCCGTGGTCTGTTGCACAATCTCGGGTCCGAGTACCGTACTCTCGCCCGACTCATACCAACATAGAGGTGTCCTACACCTTCTACCATATAATGCTTCAAAAGGTGCCATTCCAATACTAGAATGATAATTGTTGTTGTAAGTAAATTCAATCAGCGGTAAGTATCCCAAGCGCCTCCTCGCTCGAGTATACAAGCTCTTAACAAATCTTCCAACGACTAAATAGTCCTTTCAGATTGACCATCGGTCTGTGGGTGATAAGCATAACTCAATTTCAAACCGGAACCCAAAGCTTCTTGCAAGCTTTTCCAAAATCCAGAAGTAAACCTCAGGTCTCTGTCAGATACAATGCTCGACGGAACCTCGTGTAACTTCACTATCACTTTGATATAAATTTCTGCTAACTTCGTCAAAGGAAAACTGATGTTAATCGGTATAAAATGTGCCGACTTCGTCAATCTATCCACAATTACCCAAATTGCGTCAAAACCTCTCACCGTATTTGGAAATCTAGTCACAAAATCCATTGCAATACTATCCCATTTCCACT